GGGAGCTCACCATACTTCACTGACTTGGGAGAATTTCTCCCCCGTAGGTTCAGTGCAGCACAACCTTTGATTTATTTGTATTCTTTCTCCGGCCGCGGCCACGTCCCACTACCAACAAGGCTCAGATTTAACACGTGCATCTGGACGAGTTTGCAAGGAGGTGCAGAAAATAGAGGTTGACCTCCTTTTCCGCATCTGTGCTTAAAACCCATCTAGATTCAGCCACTAAATCCAATCAGGGTGGGACCTTGCCCTGTTTGTGGTGAGCCTGATTGCTGCTCCCCAGAACGCAAGGAGTGCTTTTCCCCAAAAAGGCAAACGAAAAAAATCACGACATCCGTTCAAATGTCTAAACGAAAAGGGCTAATCTGGGCGAGACAGGAACCACGTGTTACCTCGTCCTTTTCTTTAAACCGCCAGTACACGGCCCCAGCCTTGCTGAAAAGAAAACTCATCGCCAACAAAATTTTCAGAGGCCCAGCGCCATCGATTAATTGAATAGGTGGCAGGCGGCCTCCGAAAAGGTCCCGTGACCGATAGCTGGATGTACTGGTGGTTTAAAAAGAAACAATAAATCTGTACATTACAAGATGTACTGGTGGTTTAAAAAGAAACAATAAATCTGTACATTACAAGCCAGCCAACTGGAGATCATTGCCTATAGAGGGTCATCTATACAGCACAGATCTGAGAGCAGCCTTCAGGCACTCCAGTCCGGCTTGCCAGAATCATTTTAGAAGGATTCAATATGTTCGCTATGCAGACGATTTTCTCATTGGAGTTATGGGACCTAGAGCACTAGTCTATAGAATACAAAGTCGAGTGAAGTCTAGTGGCACAATTTCTCACATAGGCTTAGCCTTCGGCCCTTCTTTTCAAAAACTCTGTGGCAAATAGTGCAACTACCGTAGCCCCTTAATGTCCAGTTTTGTTTGGGCTACAGCCTTGAGATATCATCATCTACCTGTCTGGCACTAGGTAATTCAGAATTGTTGTATTTTACTCTTCTGCTTCCAATGGAGTTCGAACTTCGGTCTGTATGTCAACAATTCAGGGTTGTACCAACTGAGCTAGGCTACTTGGTCCAGTTTTGTTTGTTTTGTTTGTTTTGTTTGTTTTGTTTGTCTGTTTGTTCATTTGTTTGTCTGTTTGTTCGTTTGTTTATGTACTAGAGAAAATGATGTCAACTTCTAGAACCAAAGGTTGGATGTCAAGCTTGTTCTTTTTTATTGTTTTTTTCTTTCGTTGCCGGTGTGCATGCTGCCGAATCTCGGTGTGCATGCTGCTGACTCTTGGGAGGTACTCTCGGGAATCGGGAAGTACCCGGGTGCCATTTCTCTAGACATCTATCCAGGCAAAACGGGCATAGCATGCGACCCGTTTTGCAGGGATGGATGTTCCGTGAAAAATGGTGCCTTGGTAGCTCCTGAGCGTAGTGGCAGCACAATGCTTTGACTCACCAAAAAAAAACTGAGAAACGTACTGGTGGTTTAAACCACCGACTTCTCATGACCCTAAGTTGACGAAGCCACCTTCCTTAAGGCTCACCAACCTGCAACTGCACCTTTTCAGACCCAAGGCTCACCAGCCTGCAACTGCACCTTTTCAAACTTTTAAACCACCAGTACTTGGCCCAGCTATCGGCCGCCGAAAAAATAGAGTAGAAACATTAGTAGTTGAATGAATTTGGGCGCTCCTGTAGTGGCACGTACGTTTCCTAACGCTACGCGACTTTAGGAAGTACCCGTGGTTTAAGTGGCCGCGCCAGGCCAGGCCCGAATCCAAAAATGCTGCTCTTCCTGCATATACCAGTAAGAGCACTACTTAGGCTTGTGTGAACTGGTGGTTTAAAATCTCTATAACTTATGGTTTTCGCTGGCTAGGGTTAGCAGCCGTACTTTTGGATCCTGCTGATCGAATATCGTTTATACTTTTATTTGTTTTTTTTTTAGAAAACGGACGACGGCCTTGAGATACAGTTGAACTGACCAGCCCCAGGTAATTCATAATTCTTTTATTTTATTCTGGCCATCTGATTTTGTTTGGATTCGAACATGGGTCTGCATTTCAACAGTTCCCCATTGTACCAACTGAGCTGCGCTCTTCGGTGCTTATACAATTTCCACTGCTTCGGAGCACTTAAAATCCAAGTAGGAATACACGTGTAATTGTTCCAGTAAAGGGCG